ATGGAAGCCAGAAAATGGAAGCAGGAGAAGAAATGTTGAGGAATACTTCATGCAGGGCAGCAAAAAACCACCAGAGTAACAGCAAAATCTGTTTGTATTCACAGGAATAAAAGCGGGGGCGTTCCCCTCCTACACACAGCTGGTGGAAAGAACGGATAGCCACAATCATCTCAGAAAGGAGTTGCATCAACAAGAGTTATTAGTTGGAGAGAATATTGAAGTCACCAGAAGATTCCAGGTCAGAATTCCCCCAGAATTAAAAATCTAATATACAATAAATTATATTATAAAATGCACATTTATTCTTAAACCATTAAAAAGTATATTCACCTATTAACTGCATTTTATTTATTGGCTTAGCATTGCAGGTTTGAGCAAATTCTACTCAGCAGGAGTAAACAGCTCATGTGCTGAGGACTGTTTCCACTCACAGGTTTATTTCTATTATTACTGATTAAACTACAGTGAGTGAGTTCATGATACTGAGAGAAGTACAGCAGTGAGGCTCAGTGATGCGTTTAAAATGCCATAACGACACGGCAAAAAACCCAGACCAAACTGTGAAAACATGTGCTTGAACCAGTTTTTCATGATGAATAGATTAGAAAAACACACTGAGGTATCCTGATCGATGTGATAATGCAAAAAGCTTTGAGCATCTACTTAAAGTTAAAAAACTGAATGCTTGTGGTCCAAATTATGAGTTTTTATTCAAAACCAGGGATGTATACGGTATACCCCAACACTTCAAACCAGCTTCAAGACCCATAAACCTAATTAAGAAAGTAAATAAGCTAGTACTAACATGACTTAACAACTTGGGGGTTAAGTAACACAAGTTATTGTTGACCAACTTAATTTAGTGCTTACTCTAAACGATGATACATAATCACCCCAGGATTCCCAACACTTTGCCTTTTCCTGTCTTCAATTAAATGTCAGTTTCTACATCACATAAATTTTGTGGACTATATGAATCCAGTCCTCGAGTGAAGGCAAGTCCTTCACCAACTGTTTTTTTAGAGCTTTCTTACAAGAAAATGTTCAGAAATTTGTTTTCAAATCCATCCATCACTGAATTCTTTTTTTCTTCATAAATATATTTGCTCATTTTATACAACTACAAAAATAAAATAAAAACCAAACAAGCCACAACATCCAGTTCAATTCAGTTTTATTTATATAGCATCAAATCACAAAAGCAGCTGCCTCAAGATGGTTTATATTGAAAGATAAAGACGCCACTAAAATGAATGAGTGAAACACCCAACATCAAAGAAACCCCTTTGAGCAAGCAAATGGCGACAGTGGGAAAGAAAAACTGCCTTTTAACAGGAAAAAACACTCCAGCAGGCTCAAGCAGGTGCCGCTGTCTGACAATCCATATTCACAACAGTATGGAAACAGATCATACAGCTGTGGTCTGAAACTGTTTTTATGCTATTTCACCTTTATAAAACCTCCCACCATTTTTCTATCCATCCATCCATTCGCTTCTGCTTATCCTTTTTCAGCTCTTTTTCAGCTGGAGCCTATCCCAGCTGTCATAGGGC